CGCTGGAACTCCACCGTGAAGTTGTACTTCAGTAGGCGATGTGACCAACGGGTGATCCGTAGCGGGCGACGTCCTGCTCCTCCGGTGGACAGCAAAGACACGAGTGCTTGATGGTCCGTGCGAAGGGTAAAGTGGCGGCCCCATAAGTATATGTGCCATTTTTCGCACGCCCACAAACACGCAAGCGCTTCTTTTTCCCCGACCGAGTATCGCCGCTCTGTCGAAGTGAGCGTCCTTAAGGCGAATGCGACAGGGAAGACGCCGTCACCAGGACGCTGCTGCAGCACAGCCCCGATGCCGTATGCCGACGTGTCTGTGGCCACGATGGTGGGCAACGTGGGGTCGAACATTCTTAGTGTCCTGGCAGATGACAGCAGCCTCTTGACTTGGTTGAAGCTTCTGTCCGCCTCGTTGTCCCAGACGAACGGAGTGTCTTTTCGCAGGAACCTTCGAAGAGGTTCGACCTCAGACGCTAACCGAGGCACGAAGCGAGAGTAATTCTCCACCATCCCCAGAAACGAACGGAGTTGGGTGATGTCCGTGGGGATAGATGCAGCGTTGAGTGCATTCACCTTCGTTTGTAGCGGAGCAATCCCTTGAGCGCTGACTTTATGACCCAAAAACGAAAATTCTGGCACATCGAATAGGCACTTGTTGTTGAGTTTCAGTCCAGCATCCGAGATACGTCGCAGCACCTCACGCAGACGGTGTGTGTGCTCCTCCTTGGTCCTGCCAAAAACAACCACGTCGTCAAGGTAGACCAACACACCTTCGCAGTCGTGAAGCATTTCCGACATCATCTGCTGGAAAGCTGCTGGCGCCGATGCCAGTCCGAAACATACTCTCTTGAACCGGAAGAGACCTTCGTGTGTAATAAATGCGGTTAGGTCCCGGCTATCTTTATGTAGCGGCACTTGGTGGTAAGCAGCCGCTAAGTCAAGCTTGGAAAAATGTTTGGCACCATGTAAAGCATGCAGAAGTTCTTCTATGTGCGGAAGAGGAAAGCTATCAATAACGACAGCTTTGTTGGCTTCCCGCAGGTCCACGCACATTCGAATTGAGCCGTCTTTCTTCTGCACCACCACAATTGGTGATACCCATTCGGAGGAATTAATCCGTTCGATGACCCCAGCCGCTTCCAAGCGTCTGATTTCTTCTGATACTGACTGACGCGCTGCTAGAGGAATACGTCTCATTCGATGACGGACGGGAATGACAGAAGGTCGAATGTTTACCTTGTGGACAACGTCCTTGACACGGCCAATACCCGGACTGAAGAGGTGCTCGAAGTTGCTCATGGAAGGCGGCAGGTTTGGCTTTGTTGGTTCAGGCACCACTGAAGCTGCAGCCTGTGGTGGAGACGATGCTGAGGCCAGCTGATTTTGCACCCTTGCCGACCACTCATTTCTCAATGCACTTGACGCTTCGTCCTGTGGGGCCGGTGTCAAACTCTCGTCCTCCTCTCTCGGCGGGTCGCCAGAACCCTCTGTATCAGTATAGAAGCACGACCGAGTGGCGCCACTTATCTGGATGTCGAGGGCTAGAACAGCGTCCATGCCGAGTAAAGAGGTACCACGGTCAGCAATGTAAAAAAGTACTGTTGCCGCACGCTCCCTGAACATTACCGGTGCCTCGAATGCTCCCAGAATGGTGATGGGTTGCTGAGAAAAGTTCAGGACTTCACAGGTGGTGGTACAACTGTCGCCTTGCTCGCGAAATACCGGACGAACATGGCACTATCCACGATGGAGACGGCTGACCCCGTGTCAAGAAGAAACTGCAGCGTCGAGTCAAATACCTGGATGTTTAAGTACAGCTTGCTTTGAGAAGGTCCGGAAATGTGGGGCACCTCCCACTGCTCGTCGTCGTCATCGTAGTAGTCGTCGACGATCTGCTCAACTTGATCACGCGGGCGGCGCAGCAGGGATCGGCGAACACTTCTACAAGCGCGTGAAAAATGTCCCCGACGACCGCAGTTGTCGCAGTGCTGACCTCTCGCTGGGCAGACGTCATAGCCCCTGCAGTGTTCCTGACCGTAACCGCAGTTGGGACATGTTCTTCCGTAGCCGTAGTTCCGCCTTGGAGATGGTTGCCGCCGCGGTGATTCGAAACGCACCGAACGCCGAAACGCCGATCGTCCAGGGCTCTGTTGACGACTGCCACGGTCGAAACCACCATAGCCGCTACGGCCGCAGGTTACGCAGCTCTGCTGGCTAGGCGAGCGCGAAGCGCGTGCGTTCACTGACCGGGCTGAAGCAGCTGAAGAACGCCCCGTCGGAGATCGCACAGGTGACTCACGGCGCGAGCGCCACGGCTCATGCAAAGGTGACATCATCGGCTGAGGTTGACTCGTTGCGCGCCCTGTGACGTGGCAGGTCACGTGCTCTTCCGACGCCGTCGACGGCGCAGCTGGCGCAGTTGCCGATGCCCATTCTCGAACTTCCCGGCGTGAGCGTTCCAAATTAAGGACAGTCTGTAAGGCCACGCTGAACGGCAGCGCGGCGTCAAGTACCAGGCGTTCTTGAATCTCTGCGGAAGCAGCACCCACCATGAACTGTCGGCGGATGACGGCCTCGGTGTCGGCACCGAAGTTCGCCGGCACGGCCAATGCTCGGAGTGCTGAGAGAAAGTCGCGCAGAGATTCTCCTTCTTGCTGTTTTCTCATGTGAAACCGGAGTTGTTGCAGGGTCTCGTTGACCGGCTGCGAAAATTCAGCCTCGAGGACCGTGAGGGTCTCTCTATTCACGTCGCGAGACGCTTGCCGGGCTTGCTGACCGTCTCCCGCCGGTGACGTTGCTGGCGCCGGTCCAACGGGAGCTGGTAGAGAGTCATAGATGCGCTGGCCTTCGACCCCCAGGCAGCTGAGCAGCTTTGCTTGGCGTCGTTCGGCGGAATATTCCTGAGCGCCAGTAGCCGTATCGCTCGAACATTCGTAGCCACGATTTCCACGGTATCGGTGGCGTACCGGCCTTGTCCAGGAAGTTTGGTGGTGGCCGGTCACAGTCAGCCATGCTTGCGGCTAAGATGTCGGCTCAGGAATCGAGGAGGACGTTCGAAATGGAACGGCCATTGACAACCAGCAACCGAGGTTCTCTGGTGAGCCCGGAATTCGTCGGAAGCAGGAGTCGTCGCGACGCCAGGCACCCCCGCCGATGTGAGCTTATGCCGAACGACGCACGTTTCCTCTGGGAGTGAGAGTGCCCAGGTTCAGCACCCTCGTCGCCAAAACTGTGGAGGCAGCCTAGAAAGCGACCAGCCAAGTCGGAGTCACATTGCAAAACTGTTTTAATTCTCGAGCAGAAAGAGAGAGAGAGAAAAGAGAAGAAAAGAAACGAACAAACCAACAGACAGACAGAGCGCGCGCAGCACAGCGCGCGCTCTTTGCGCGTGCCGTTCGGCAGCGGTGCAGGTGTAAAGGGCCACCCACACTAGCGAGAAAACGCGCTCGGCGCGCCGATCGCGTTGAAAACGCGTTCCGCAAAATCGGTTGAGCGGGAAGATTTTCCTGCCGCTCGGTATGCCGCTTGCCGCTGGCGCAGACGCGCCAATCAGAGGCGTCACATCCAGTCACGTGCGATGCCATGGCAACGCTTTCGCGAGAAAGTTGAGCCGCCGAGTAGTGGCGAGCCCAGGCGAGCCAGCGAACAATCTTTCCGCCATGAGCCTAGAAAACAACACGAGGACGATGGAGCGCTTTATCGAAACGGTACGGATGTACCCGTTTCTATACGATAAAAAACACCCGGAGTTCAAGGAAAAAGCGGAGAAGCTGAACCGATGGGCGATTATCGGCGAGGATTTCGGTCTCACCGGTGAGTTATTTTGCGACCTACTCGAGTTGTGTGAACGCCTCTCGCGCCGACTCCGTGATGTTAGCGCAGGGGTTCCCGTAATGGGTTCCGAAGTAACTTTCGAAGAAATAAGCACAGGTGTCTGTTGGGCTCAGCAGCTGATATGAAGCTGGTTCAGGCAGGGGCGGATGCAGGAATTTCCTAAGGGGGGGGGGGGGGGGGGGGAGGGGGGTCAGGTGTTGGTCAACGTACCATTTGTTTAGGAAACCCCTCCCCCTTTCCCTCGTTTCATGCCCTAAATTTTACACATGCAGAAATCAAGAGGGGGATCAGGACATCCGGACCCCCCCTCTAAATCCGCCCCTGAGATTAGGGGGCCTTCATGTGCGCTTTGCTTGGGGTGATGACATCTGGCCATTTTGTTCCGAACGCTCGTTTGTATTTTTTTGTTTTCAAGCGCGTGAAAGGACGTGTCTCTGCACGCGCTCGTGGCGCTGACTGTGCTACGGCGACTTTTTGTTACCGGAGATTTCTTTGTGTTTTCCCTGTGAGCTCGTGCTGTCGGCATCGGGTACTACAAACGATGGCATCACCCTAAACGGAAGGACATCTAGGCGCCTAGCTTAGTTATGACAGCCGTGCATCGACTCTCTTTTGCGGGCACAGCAAGCTTCTCGGGCTTGCTTTGCCCAGTTTTGTCTCAACAATGCAGTAAACCGTTTCTAAATTTCTAATGGAGGCATATACCGTGCAGGAGAAGCAGCCGCGGCCAAATTTAAGAATGTCAGGGACCGCTGGTTGAAGATTGTTTCCGGTGTGCAAAAACCGAGGAGCGGCTCCAGCGGAAATGTTGGGAAAGTAAAAACAAAGTGGGTTTTATTTGACGTGATCAACGACGTTCTTAAGAACACGCCGCATTACGCTGAAAGGTAATCTGTAACTATGGTGCTCATGTGAGCGTGTGAAATGATTGCGTCTAATTTGAGAGGGTACATTTTTGGTTTTATTAAGGACCGCCACAAACTTGCCGGTTGAGGAAGATAGGTATGATGCTGTATTTTTCTTTTCCTGTCTGCTACGTTTTACCCTAGAAAACTCCTTTATAAACTTACGAATTTCACTGCCCCAGCGTTTTTGTTAAGCAAGGCTTATAGCTACTGTTATGCAGGGACACAGAGCAGCCCTCCACATCCAGTTCGAGTGCAGAAAGTCTTGACCACGCAGAAAGGTAGACACCACTCATGTTTAAATTACCTGTGGTCAGAGCACAACAAAATGTGGTACTAACTTTAACCAAATTTCTACGCACAGCTGTCCCCTGAGCCCTGCTAGGGTTGTTTTTGAAGCAATGTAAGCATACTTTATATTGCTTTGTCGTAACCTCTTTCCTGTGGCATGGCCTGTGCCATGAGTGAAACGCCGCACATCTGCAATAAATAATCCAGGTACTCCAATGGCCCTGCTCTCTTGCTATCGGAGGAAAACAGCCCAAGGTGTGCGGTCTCAATCCTTTATTGGTGCTGCAAGGTGCACTGCATACTCCTCTTACAATACTGAAGCACAAATTCACAGTCTGCCTTTATTTTGCAGCATCTATGAACACCCAGGCACGGGAGCCGATGTAGGTCCTTCACGGTAAGAAAATCATGTCTTCAATATTCTTGTACGTCCTGGCTGATTTGCTTCCTTTGGTTTGCCCAGATCAGCCAAGAGGCCTGCTGACCAAGTGCCATCATCCCGGTACTTACGTTGTTTCCTATTAAAAAATACTATTGCGTGAAAATCAACGTTTGGACTGTTTTGCAGAAAAAAGAATCAACGGGGCCAGGATAGCTTCGAGGACTCTGTGCAGAGCGTCCTCCACAGCTGCTCGGCAACATTGAACGCCATCTCGCACAAGGCCGACACGCCTGTCATTAAAAACGACTGTACGGCGGGGGCACAATGGATTGAATCCAAACTGGCATTGCTTTCACAAAAGCTAAGATGTGAGGTAATGCATAAGATCAACCAACTGCTGTATGAGGCTGAGATGAAGATGTTGGAATGAATGCTCAACCGAAACGTCATTGTTCGTGTTATTTATCTAAGACTTTGGTCTTGCAGATCTATACTACAAATTAAGGAAGCACGTTACTTACAAATTTAATCGTGTACACTTTCTATACTTGATGTTCGCATCCTTCAGAGAAGACATCAATATTTCGTTGAAAAATTAGTTACTTTGATGATCGGTCATTACCTGCTGTCCCGCTCGAGTTACGATTCTTTCTTGCCACGGGACCTTTCCCTCGTTGAGGAAGTATGTGGCCAGTCGGTCCCGTACTTCCAAAGCAGTCCTGAAGTACAAGATTACACAATGTCTGTCAATGGAATGAAAAGTCAGCAGGCATAGCATTTTCGGTAATGCACGCAAGTAGGAAATTGCAAACCTAAATATCACTTTTTTATCCCCGCGGCCCATCTGCTGGAATAATTACCCGGGAGAGTGGGACCCCAGGCCCGCCATGTCCCTCAACGGCAGCCCCCTGTCGTCATTTCTCCATGACCCATGTGTGAGATTTCCCTGCCAGTCCTCGCTGTCCACATAACCCGGAGGATTGTACGCTGACCTTGACATGGCAGAATTCTTGAGCAGAAAGTTGTGCAAAGCCACGCACGCCTTCACAATATTTTCTGTGGTTTCTTCCGAGGCTCGAAATGCTCTTCGTAGAATTCGCCACCTGCTGGCCATGATCCCAAACGCATTCTCTATGAGCCGTCTCGCACGGCTCAGCCGGTAATTAAAGGTGGCCATTTTCAGGTACTCTTCCCGGTCAGGTTCCCTGTTTCTGCAACTTTGGAGCTCTGAAGAAATATGCAAAATTGAGACGTCAGTATTAACCACCGCATGCGTAACATTGTCTCTGATTAAGCTGACTATCGAGCAATAGTGTGCCAATTCTGGCAGGCTGCGCGCTCGTGTTTTCCGGTTAAAACCGACAGATTCTGCACAGACGAATGCATCTGCTAACAGAATAAAATAATGGCATTTCCTGCAAAGTACATTTCCATAAATAACTAATTTCATGACGTGCGAAATGAGTATGCAATAATTTTTAAATAAAAAGAAAGCACAATGCTGTTTTCTTTTTTTACAAATAAATAATGTAAGCTATACTATACGAAAATCAATAGCAAGACTTGCCGCGCCCAGGATATGGCCTCATGAGAAAGGGCTTCAGCGGAAACGCCTCATCCCCGACCATTAAGTAGGGGATCAGGCCTGCAGAGCCCACATTTGCAGGAGGAGGGATGCCATATCCGCTGTCAGCTAGAACCCCGAAAAGTGGCGTCCTTGAAAAAACCCCTCCATCACTCTCTCCGCCATAATGACCGATGTCAACATACGTGAAGCTGAAATAAAACAGCAGGTAGAAGTCGATACATTCAATATGATGCAATATAAAGTACAAAATTTTAGTATCCTCGTTTTCTTAGTAGTGGTAGCTTTCTTTGCACTCATAACCAAGATGCCATGCTATTAAAAACACTTATTTAAATAATTGATCAAATGAATCCTACCTGTAGCGTGCATCACATACTGCCATAAGAACTGTACTAAATGTCTTCTTATAGTTCAGGTTTCTTGCACCTGAGTTGCTGGGGCACTCAATGTTGACATGTTTTCCATCAATGCAACCAATACAATTAGGAAAATTCCAGAGTAAATCTATCTCTGCTGCAATCTAAAATAATGGTGGTCACAAAAAAAGTGGGAAGTGAGCATGGCATAGTGTGACCTAACAGGTACCGTCCCTAACCTTTTTCCATTCGGTTGGCCCCTGTGGAAATTTCACGTAGATGGGCTGCAGAATGTTCCACATTGCAGCGCATGTTTCCTTCACAATCCCAGCCGCTGTTGATCGGCCCACCAAAAAATTAAAAGACGAACTACGGAATGTGTCGCCATTTGCAAGGAATCTGGAATCACAAAAGAAGAGGTGTCTTGGTAATACGCGCGTTTTTTTTTTCTTACAACGCTCGCTTAGCGCACCTCGCAGTTGCTTTTAATTCTCCGCAAGACCTGCTTGCTCACTCGGAAGATTCATTATAACATCAAGATAGCGATATGCTGACGTCGTAATGCCAATCTCCCCCCCCCCCCCTTCCCCCCCCCCCCCCCCCCCCTTTACCTGACGGTGATAACAAGCCGGTCGTGTGCTGATATCGGGTCGCGGAACGGCGTCACCTTACGTTCGATCGCTGGACGGATGAGTTCCAGCAAGGAATCAAATGTGCTGGGTGCCATTCGCAGGAAGCTGGAGACCAAAAAGCGATAAAAAAAACATCCGTTTACCATTGTATATGGTGAACACTTTTAAGGTAGAGAATGGTTGTAGTTACTCACTCTCGAAAGTAAATTTCGTCTGTGGCGCGCAGGCGAGGCAGCAAAGCACTGGCCTGTCCTTCCAGATTTCGGTAGCGCAAGCTTGGTCGAACCCACCATCTACGTTTCTTGGCTTTTTGGAAGCGCCGACGACGGAGAAGTAGTGAGCACACAAGAATGATTGTGTTGACCGTAATTACGAGCTCATCTGTACCTGTCATGACTCGATCACGGTGTGGACTCGATCTTCGGCGAGCAAAAGCGTCCCTCGCCCGCTCGATTGCCTCGAGGATCCTCGAGATATAGACGCTTTACACACGCGCCAAATTACAGCCGCCATTGCTGACCTTCTCTTGTCTTACCGAGATGCCGAGCAACTGAAACGGTCGTTGCGGATCCTCTACAAAGGCCGATGCTTTAGAAAAGGACCCGATTGAATTTAATGTGGCACTAACCTGGCCTGCTATGATAATCATGAAGTGCAATAAACGAAATAAGAGGAAACAAAAACTGAAGGTCAGTTATGGCGGCGCCCATGCACAGCTGCTGCAAAGCGTCTATTGCGGGAAATCATGCGCTCGCTCGGATGCTTCAAGAGTGCGCGAGGCCTCCTGTGCTGTCAGGTGACATTCGCGGCGGCAGAACTCTATCTAGTGTGGTCTTCAGGATGCGGGACGCGTTTTCCCGCGATCGGCGCGCCGCGCGCGTTTTCTCGCTAGTGTGGGTGGCCCTTAAGGGGGCCGCTGCCACAGATGCCAGCAAAGAAGGAACAAACAAAAGAGGGAAGAATTTAGATCGTACAACTAAACATAACAGGGCCCTGCAATGACTTTTTTACTAATTTTTAATTTGCACCGAACCTGAGCGCACTGAACGTAGTAACTTAGTGAAACTTTTGTTTTCTTGAAATTCTCTTTATTTTAAAAGTTATAGGCAAATTAAAATTACAAAAACAAGCAAGAAATAACCTCCCTCATGACGTCCTTGGTTGCTTGAGAGTGGCCGTGAACTAGAGAAGAAGTAGTAAGCTCATCGAGCGCTCACGGCTGCCGCATTCCGTGTCGACGGCGCGAGAGGGCGCCACTAAAGCGTGTTCTGGATAGGCTGTATGCAGCGGGCGGCCAGAGCGGTTCTCATTGCATTTGCTGCACGGTTAAACACTAAGTCGGCATGGCAGTTCAATGGCCACAAACGACAGCAAACACGTGGTAAAGATCAGTTCAGAATGGGAGCTACTTTGCGCTACCATACCGCAAAACGGCCAACCCGCAAGACAAAGCTTCTCGCCGAAGGCCTTCGGAACGCTCGGCGCCGGTCGGATCCTGCTGCCCATACGACCGCAGCGCCGCTGTGTACATCCGGGACCTTTCCGTGTCGGCGCCTGATCCCACTACTCTTTTCTAGTATGCGCCGCCTTTTCCGCCGCTTGGTGGCGGGTTTGTCGACGGGTCTTTTCTTGTTTTCGTACTTTATAAACTGCATTTGTTTCTTTTTTGATCTAAAATACTGAACAAAAACTAATTTTATAAATAATTGAAACGGTTCGCGCCACTTATATTTTGTATTTCGACTAAAAAGAAGCTTTTAGCGGCTCTGACCAGTAGTAGGCCCAGGACCAAAGACGTCACATTTTGCGCGCTTTTGGTACCGCGGGTCGCCCTCGTCGGTGGAGGAGGTTTCCATGTCGTCCGGTTAAAATATGACGCACTGATATTTAGTCACTCTCTCCGTGCCCGCTGGCTTGCCCCAGCCCTAAGATACGTGGAAACCGCAAAAAAGGTAGACGCTTAAATACGATTGCAGGGCCCCTTTAAGATATCCCAAATATCCTGCAGCAATTAAAAACAAAGCATGAGCATGTATCAAATATGTCATCATCAGTAAAAACAATATCATAACGCTTTTTTGTGCTCTTGACCCTTGCATTATCAAAGGGTGCGCAACACGACAAAGTATGAAGCACTCTTGCAGTCAACCAAGTTTGCTATGCGGAGCACGAGTTTGTCTGCTCCTTTTGCAAGGGTTACAATGACTTAAGAATGCCAAGCTCCGATTGACTCCAATTGAAGGAAAGGGGGTGGACCTTGTGGCGTAGAAAACATGTGGGTGATTTCAGATAAGATCGACCAAAGGGTGGCTGGTCGACATTTTTAAATCAACTGATGTTTTTATATGACATTGTCTAGTGTCTGGTATAAACGAATCCACACTTAGTTTTGACCAGAAAAAAAATTTGGAGACAAGAAAAATCGTAAGGCAGGGAGAGGTGGACAGTTGCAATAACGCGCACTGATGGAGGGGGCAAGTTTGAATGTGAATAATTAAAACAATAAAATTAGGAGAATTTTAAAACTTTTTACAAACAAACTATGGGTACAACTTGCTTGTAATATAAAGTAATAATATTTATTAAAAATTTATTTAGTTTTCTAAAAATTGCCAAACATGCCTGCTCGAACGAAAAATGGCAAACTTTGGAAATCTGTATCTCATGAAATAATTTAATCATTATTACATAACTTGCAGACATTATTTTACTAATATATGGCTATTATTGAAAAATAAATAAGGTATCTGAGTGACACAATAGTTACAATATATTTAGGCAAACATGGGAAAAAAATCAAACAAAGAAAAATTCCAATGCGAATAAAAAAAAAAACACCACCTTCGATTTTTTTAAAATTTGGGTACCCTGTTATACTCTATTTCGGCATTCATTTCTATTAAAAACATGTTGCATCATTGCACTGTGAAAGAAGAAACAACTCCCCAAAGTAGGGTCCTTTTTCAAAGCCTACACTTAGCAGTGTCCTATACAAGAAGTGACTCTGAGTTCCAGTTTCATGAAATTTGCACAAATCTTTTATATACATTTATTCAGATGAGGTCATTGATAAAAAGAGCGATCGGTCACACAGTAAAAGGGCGGAGAAACTATATACAGCATTTTACATAAGCGTACAAAGTGGTATCATATTAGAGACTAATGATTTGAGAAAAGATGATGCAGTGTGAAGTTGTACCTTCCGGTGTATTTTACATCTAGAGTAAAATAAATAACTTTACTTCCACACACAAAAACAAAGATATAATAGTAAGATATTTAGGTTGGCTGTGTATTTACGATTGCAAACAATTTCAGGTGACGGATGCCATAGTGCCTAACTGGAGCAGCTTCGGTGCTCTCGGTGTATAAATGAATCGTGGCCAGCCGATATATTTTATCCTGCTCGAGGATAACATTTTGGGATTTTTTTTATAGTGATCAGATAAAAATTATTAGTAACCACCAACAAAAACAGTAGGTTAAATACCCCGTGAAGAAAAATGTGATAAATAAGATGTCCCTGCATTCAAAATGAGCAGTCCTTGGGAAATCACATTCGGCACTTTACGCTCAGGTTTTCCTCGCTGTACCCATTTAATAAAGTTGCTTCCAAGCAGATCCGACTGTCTGTGCTACATATACGTCACAGGTCCCTTCTGTTGATGACTTGCTGAGCCGCCACGCGTGCCAAGACTGAATGCCAGGGAAGGCGCGCACCGTCAGCCACTCTTCTTTTTTTTTGTTCACGATACCGAACAACCTCATTTTCGTCCAGATATACAAGGTGCACGCCTTTCAGTTTCTTTGATAGAACGCTCACCATTGTCCTGGCCGTCTGAATTGCGCTTACTGAACGTTCTCTCAGGTTGTTCAGCGTGGCCTGGTGCTTCACGAGTCCGCCAACTCCGTCACATGCATTTTTCCCATGTCCAGGTGCAGAAAATAACCACTGGGCTTGTGGGCAATCGTCCTTTGCAAATTGGTGAAGCTGGTAGCGATTCTTGAAATGACTGGCGGCGCCGTCACTTACGTACGTCACGTACGAGTATACCGCAACGTTGTCTTCAACCCACTCCTTCACCTTTTCTAGAGCCAAGCAAGCGTGAGCGGCGTCGTGACACAGGTCCTCACTGATGATGGCAAAGCTGTTTGTAGATTTTCTTGTCGTCACTACACATGTAAATATCGAAACTTTTTTTTTTTTCCAGTGATATGCTTGCACTTCGTCAGGAAGCACGATGGTCCAGTTTTCAGCAAAGTCAAAATGAAAGACAATGCTCCCGCGTTGCATGCACTGTTTTTCATCGTAGATCGCTTTACCTTGCGTTTGCCAGATATGGTTGTGAAGTACCCAACTTCCAACCGTCACTTGGATGACTTTTAGGAAAGTCTCAGGTTCCAAAGTTTTTTTCACAAGGTCGCCGGACTCCCATGTTGCAAGCACAATATCTTCATCCTCCGGGATATCAAGTTCCTGGAGTGTAAGAAACTGGCCTTTTGGGCAGTGATCACAGTCTCCTTGAAGGCACAGTTCTGTTGCTGGGTCGCACAGAAATGCCGAGTTCATTTCACCAGTGTTGAATGTTGAGCCTGTAACGTTCTCTAGAGCGGCAATACAAAGATAATAATTGGCGCAGCGCACACAAACGCACACTTCCTGGTGTGGAATACATTGGACCCATCTAGGGCGCAACGAATAAAATTTCGTTAGCCCAACGCCGGAATCGGGATGCTTGTCTTTGTATATACGGAAGGCCTCTCGTATTGAGCGTGTCATGAAGCGCTTTGGCACGAACGTTTTCTCTCCGTTGAGCATGACAGAGATGACGTCCTTCTGGTTGGGACTTTGGCGCGAACATTGTAGCTCGTCTTTCGTGAAGTACTCTAGGGCAGCAGACAGGTTCTCAGGGCTCACCTTGCACCTCGTGTAAGGATCCGGCTCATACCACACGCCATGCTTTTCCTTGAGTTTTCGGGGATTTACTGATGAGGTACATTGAGGCCTGTGGAATCATCTTTTGAACCTCATTCTTCGTCAGTGTTGACGGCAGGAGTTTAAGCAGTTGACGACGTTCCCGGAGAGAGGTGGCGGTTTCAAAGGCCTGCCGAAAGTTGTCCACCCACTCAGTGCATGTGGAGCATGTTGGTTCGGACGACCCCGATGGTGCGTCCCTGTCGTACGCAATACGTAGCCTTGAGCGTATATTCTTGACAGCAACCTGCTCCAGTTCTGTCTGCTTTCTCTTGACATAGGCAGGCCTGTCCCGACTTCTTACGACGCTTGGTTGTCTCAGCGGCGACACATCTGTAGGTAGTATGCTGCGATTTAGATCTTCAATTGCTTCTTCAGCTGGCACAAATATGTCAGGGCACTGCTCTGAGCTTCGCATCGAGATCTCCTTAGTGATGTGCATGAAGCAATGGTAGCACAGGTAGTCCGTCGCACTCACTTTGA